CGACCCGCTGGGAGGTCCCCGTTGTGAAATAACGCCATGATGGGAAAATGATCAGAATCCATTAGTAATTGGGTGGTTAATAGTGGTTACCCTCTGGTAAACGAACATAGCTATTGAAAATGGCCATTTATAGTGAGTTTTCCCGGTAAAAATGGTGATTTTCAATAGCTATGTTAGTTTACCAGAGGGTAATAGTGGTTAATAATGTTGGGTTACTATTATTGATCATATATAGCTAATTTTTTAAAATGACCGTTCTGGTTGGTGGTTTGGAACATGAGTTTTATGACTTTCCATAATATATGGGAATAGTAACCCCAACTAACGAACTCATATTTTTCAGAGGGGTAGGTATACCAAACCACCAACCAGGCGTTATATCTGCATATATGTTCAGACTAACCCATATTCCATCTGATTTCCAATAGAATATCGAGAGCCAGCTGGCGCCACGAATTCCGTTTCCCAACCAGATAAACATGGATGGTTTAATACTCTGGCCGTGTGTTAATATGTGAAGCCAAGGAGGGTTGGTTTCACCATGTGTGACACATTTGACAACCATATCCCAAGAAGATCCAAGCAGCCAATTCTTGTGAATATTCTTCTACTAACATTTTTTTTTTCACAGCCATTTCAGTGTTTTAATCCGGTGCCCAACTTCAATGGGAGTAACACCGAGACCCGTGACCCGTGAAGTTGATCCTGAAAGCCAATGGCATTCCATGTAGGTATGCAATGGTACATACGTAGGTACGTGCGTTACGTTAGGTTTACGTTACTTACATTACATTTACATTTACATTACATTACATACATATTGAATCATATTATATCACATGATACATACATATCATATATTTATTATACATATTATATGATATACGATTTGTTATTTTCAGTACAGCCCATCACTTTAAGTTGAGAGGTACTTTCCAGTCTTCCTTCTCACCGGCTTCTCAGGGTCGCACTGGGTGGAGGGTGGGTTTGTGTTTCTGTTGGTGGTCAACAGATGTGGACAAAATCTGCCGTTTCAAGACGTTTTCAAAGGAAAAAATGTTGAGAAGCCATGGAAAATCACCATTTTTGATAGGTAAACCATCTATTTCTATGGGCCATCTATACCATGGCTATGTTAGTCATAACCAGAGGGTAATGAAGGATTCTTGAAAAATGACGAGGTTTGGGGGAGTTTCCCGTTGCGTTTCACGAGTTTTGACCAAACCGCTTGAAATATAGCTGCCATCCAATGCAGTGGATAGCACGAGGCGAGACTCGATCAATCGCAACTGCATGGTGCATGTCCTGCGGTGAATGTGGATGTGGTGAATTTTTCACCAGATAAAACCAGTCATTGTTAGTGAATTTTAGTGGACAAAAACATACAAAATCATAGAAAAAAGATCTGCGAAATAGAGACAGTTTTTTTTTTTGCAGTGCGAACTGCGCGCTCTATTTGGATTCATGTCGCCCCCGGTCATCCGAAGTTTTTTTATCGGTCCTGAAATCTGTGGATCCGGATGAAATGGCTCGATAATCCTTTGCCAAGAAGCAAAGTGTTATCCTCTGGTTATGACATTCACAGTTTGCCATGGTATAGATGGCCCATAGAAATAGATAGTTTACCGTTCTTAAAAATGGGTGGATTTTCAATTGCTATGTTAAATAACCAGATGGTATCATTTTTTTCTCATCAAAAATGGTCCATCATACGGTCAACTCCAATTTTTTTTGGTGCTTTGCCCTCCATTTGTGCGGCTTTTCTCGTTTTTCTCTCAAGCCCCCTGCCTTTGTCCAAAAACGCCATGTCGTGCTGAGAGGTTCGATGGAAAGGAAGGCTTCTGAGAGCGGGCCCGAATTCTCGCACAGCGTAGGCCCGAGGTGTCGAGCAAACGTTGGGGCGACTGGTTTATCCACAGCAGAAATAACTCCAGTGGTGTGGGTCTTTAGGGTAATTATTCCTGGTGGTGACTGGAACATGAATGGATTATGACTTTCCAGAAACAGTTGGGAATATTTGGGAATTTCATCATAATCATCATCCCAAGTGACTCAGTCATTTTTCAGAGGGGTAGGTATACCAAAACCACCAACCAGTTCATTTTTGTCAAGAAAAAGGTGGAGTCGGCGAGTTGGAGCATGTTGTCTTTTCAGTTTCACCACATGATAAATATGGATGGTAGTTCAACAATGAACATGTTTCTTTTTTCTTTTTCGTTCATGGTTGAAGATGTTAACATTTTCATGGTTTAACCACCAGATCTGATGGGTGATTGGATGAAAGATCCCAAAATGACATGTAGTTCACTCAAGAAAATCATTGGGAAATCCCTATGTTTTTTTAAAGGCTCCCATGACTATCAAAGTCTTACCTAGTGAGTGTTCGGCGATGGGAATGCGACGTTCGGATCGCTACAGATGTTGCTGTGATTCCCACATCTTAGAGCCCGGATCGAGCAGGTAAAGGTATGGATACTGACATGACCCCTATGTAGTATAAAGTATTGTAGACATGGATAGATATGGATAGATATGGTACTTCAACAAAGATGCAGTAGTTTAGTAGTTATAACTGAAGTAACATAGACAGGATGGCAATGGACAATCCACCTTCGTGGATCATGTCCTCCACTTTCCCAATGATTTCCGTGATGTCTTTTCTAATTTGCCGGGTGAGTTGAAATTAAACATGGACCATTACTCTTCATCATTATGACTGCGACTTGGCAGCAACTTCGTTCTTTTGATCAGGAGAATGTTCGATTCACTTGGTGCAATAGTTGTTGTAGTTATTTTAATAGCTGGATATCCAGATCTTGGAAGTGCTATTATATCGGGTTCATTAGCTTTTTTTATATTCTTTTTAGTAATAGTCAACTGAAAGTCATGGCGAAGACGCGATCCCAGCGGCCCAGCGTGCCATCTCGTGCCATCTGCGCAGCCGAAGTTCACCGAGCGAATTCGCGTTTCGGCTGGGTCGGTTTTTTTGGGGCCCGGTTGGCAGAAAGGAACAGATGACATGGGCTAAGGATGCCTGAGGGAGAGGTGAATAGTACGTTAGGTTACAGGGTACATCTCTACTGGCTTAGTCTCTAGTTTGATGGACATATATATATATATCATAATTATATTATATATATATATATGTTTTCATTATTCATGTGATATTATGTGATGTATCACTAAAGATTGAGCCTTTGCGAGGGTATCCGTCCTATTCTTCGTATCAGATGTGTTTTTTGTCGGTGATTTGAAACCAGTGGTTTCATCCCAAAAAAACCTTCAATTCCCCCATACAGTAGGTCCTCAAATTTGCGAATGAATAGATCACATTGGGGGTATATTGATGGGATCCATGTTACCATATATAGCAGCATACATGGATCCTATGGGAATACTTCACTGGGCTTTCTTTCGGTTAAAATATTAGTGGAACGAATTTGACAAAACAGTCCGAAGGGCGTGATAAAGGCATAGGCCAGGCCCTCGAATGGCATTCGGAACTGATGCTCAACCAAAAAATGTCAAAAAATGCACCAAACATGCACAACCAGAATTACAGCATCAATCAAGCATTGCGTCATAAGCTATTGCTGGTCATGTTGCCTGGGTGACTGCCTGGCATCTTTCGTGGTTATCGATGTTATCGATGTTATCGATTGCGGAGCCAGACCTTGCCAGACCCCCCCGGCCGCGCCCGAAAACATTGCGCCATTCCGCGGCCACCAAAAACGGAAGGAGGTCGTGAAAAGTGCGGCAGCCCTTTGGAGAATGTTTTGAGAAGTTTAGGACCCCATGATTCATCCATGATAGAAGAGTTTTTCTTCAACACTGAATGAATTGCCATGGATATTTACTGATGTACCGGATATGCTTCACTTCCTGATTGTTGGAAGATTGAATGGTAGTTGGTGTTGTTATATTTTACCTACGATATGCCATGAGATGCCATGAGTGATGAGTAAACTCACCAATCAAGCAGGAAGAGAAACGGAATGTGACGGACACTTGCTGGATTCCAACATCTTTATTGGAAGCAACCATTTTCTGGGAAAAACAAGTTCGGTTTGGTGGGTCAATGTGTCAATGGTTTAGCCATGCTCAAGTTTTGGATAATCATTCACAGCCAGCTAAAGACTAGCTGTTTGTTCAAGGTAGTTAAGATATGTTAAGATTAATCATGATGTTGCTTTAATATGCTCAAATCCTTAATTTTCCTTGGCTGATTTTCCTCAGCTCCAGCACCCTGGATGACTTTCTTTTTTTTGCAAAAGATGACTAGGCAGCTGGTAATCCAATGGTGATTTCGACATGGACATATCCCCCAAAAACGATTTGGCTAAACACTAAATTATGTTAAATTATGTGAAGTTCGCGCTTCCCTGGCTTCAGGTTTTTAGACTTTGGATGACTTTGGTCAACGTCACGGCAGAGCACGGATTTCCGGTGCAACGGCATGGATGGTCATCCAATCTGTCAGTGAATGAGGAAAGCCGAGTAAAGTGACTTTCAGATCGCGATATTCCATCAATGGTATTAATTTGGTGTAACATGGTGTAACCCAATATCAATCAATGCCAGAAACTGACCATTTGGGGATGCTTTATACAACCCACATATATAGATGGCCCATTTATGGATGATTTTCCCAGCTAGAAACCTCCATTTTTTTGGGGGGGATTTTCCATTTCGCTGGTGACTTGGGGATGGTTTTATGGCATTGAATGTACACCCCAGGTGGTCAAAGCCTTGGTTGGATGATATGTGGTGGTACTTGTAGCTAGTAGATTGGTAGGACCCATGGTTGCTTCATTTTGGCATCGTTCGTCAAATCTCCACATCGTTTTCATAATATGATAGTTTCAAATACTTTCAGTATATGATAGGTCCGCATCTTTGAAGGTAGAAATCTGCGTGAAATTCACGAATTTCACGTGTGTGGCTGGTATATCCCCATGAAATCTGCTGGTAAACATGGCATTTTTGCTCCTGTTTTGACCATGCTCTTGGCGCCGCGTTTGGCGCCGAAAACGCCATGGTTTCGGTACCGCAGATTGCGACGTGTGCGGCACGGTCTCCGAGGTGAGTGGTTAGCAACCCTGGTGAGTAACAAGTCCCCGATTATTCCATGTACCCTCTGGTTATGACTAACAGTTCGCCATGGTTAAGTCATGGCCCTAATCGAAATAGATGGTTTACCTATGTTTACCGAAATTAAAAACGGTGATTTTCCATGGCTATGTTAGTCATAACCAGAGGGTACATGGGTGGTAACAGCAGTTGCTCTTGATCGTTCGTTCGTGAGCGGGATGATCCTCTAAGCAATCTGTTGCAGTAGATGGGGATGTATAGCAACCAGATTTTTTTTTCGCATGGTCTTTTGCAGGGTATCTTCCAGATTGGCTGAAGTGAGAAACGACAATTGGGAAAAAAAGAAAAAACTCACTTTGGGTTGGCAATGCAGAGATGTCGACTCTGAAAATGGGATTTCAGGTTGGCATTGCCTGTGTCGATCGTCTATCGCAGGATAAATACTGATTCACCAAGTGAAGAGAGTTGGTGATTAACGGCTGTATATATATATATATAGCAACCCAAAGCACGATAAACATTTGAATTCCTACTAAACTAGTGGTGAGTTACTAAACTCTATCTCTTGGGGGTTTCGATATTAATTGATATTAATTGTATAATACATATTCTATAATTAATATAACAGAATATTTTCTATAATTTACATCTATATAATAGGATATATATATATTAGCTTAATCCAAAAGCTCTTTAAAGGCCTTCTCTATAGACCCCATGCGGAGGCATACGTGCATGTACTGCATGTCTTTTTGCATTTATTTTACATTTATACCACCGCTAACACACATATACGCTATATATATTATATGCGTTCATTGATTTTTAGGTGTTCAAACCTTACATATAAAAACGTTTGTGTTTGCATTTCTCAGCATTTGTGCTTGCATTTCTCGACATTTGTGTTTGCATTTCTTAACATATGTCACATCATATGTCTTTGCATTTACCCTGACTCGCTCGACATTTGTGGTTACATATATGGTGCAGGCTCGACAGATGTGCTTTTATTGGACCGTATTTGTTCGTAAAGCATATAACTTATGCCACGACAAATGCAAACACATGCATTCAGAAATGCATAAATAAATTCACACATATGGAACAACACATGCATAAATTCTTACTTTGCGAAAATAGGATCTTATTTTATGTAATTACACTAAATAAGACCTTATTTTCACAAAATAAGACTTTATGCATTTGTTGATGCATTTATTTACAGATATACTTATATACACTTACATTTATTACGTATATTACATTTGTTCCAGCATTTACAGTTTGTGTCAGTACATTTGCAAACATATATGTAGAACATTGCAGAACAACTTAAAACAAATGTCACAGCCAATGCGAAGAAATGCCACAACAAATGCAAACAAATGCAACAACAAATGCAAACGAATGCCACAACAAATGTAAACACATGCCACAACAAATGCAAACGAATGCCACAACAAATGTAAACAAATGCCACAACAAATGCAAAGAAATGCCACAACAAATGCAACAACAAATGCAAACAAATGCCACAACAAATGTAAACACATGCCACAACAAATGCAACAACAAATGCAAACAAATGCAGAGCTTTGCGTCACACATGCATCAAACATATGTAAAAATAAATGCTGCAACATATGTATATCTTATTGTTTGGGGTCCAGACCCCGCTAGAGTAGTGCTTTCATATATATATAATATAGTAATATATAATATATAATATATTGTTAATATACATAGATATTTGTATTATATATAATATCCCAAGAAACCCAGATTCCAAGGCGCTCAAAGCATGGTTCCATGGCATTCCCTTTTCAAAACTCCCGAGAATGGTGACCGTGGCAGCCACGGCCAAAAAGGTCCTGTGCTGTTTAGTTTGAAGTTGGTTTGTAACAATGTTTAAGATGGTAACATGGGGTTTTAAAATGCTAATATAACTAACTTTTAGCGATTAGGGAATCGGTTTTTAGACCAAACTATCTTACCTGGTTTGACACAGATTCACAGGAAAAGAGGCAAAACTTTGGTTCGGTCACCCATTCTTCCAAAGGTCTCCCAAGCTCATCAGACCAGTCACAACTTTATGGGGGTATATACAGGGAAAAAAAGCATTAATTAATTATATTATATATATATGCATATTTCAAATATTACGTCCGTATGTTATGTAGACATCAATATGTGTGTCTGCATTTGTGTACAATGATTTATATGTGAGACTCTCTCTCTCTCTCGCTTCATGTACAATACAGTTATCATGTGTATATATACAATGTGAGGCCCCCAAGATAGCGTTCAGTTGGTTTATAACTCCAATTTCACAATGGTTTATGGTACGCAAATAACGAACTAGTTACTGGGGCGAATCTAAACCAACGTTCACATCACGTTTGGGGGCCCCACATTGTATAGATAAATCATAGCGACTTCACCGCGACGTCATGACCTCATTTCAGGCTGGTGAATTATTGTAATTGATCCATATCTGCATACACTGATTCATCATGATTATTCATTCTTCATTTTATACAATTTGATATAAAATTACAGCACTAGTCAATGGTATAATATCTCCGGTATATGAACATTGGATTATGTATAAATCAGATATACTTGTAATGTATGATACTACATGTATATCTACACATCAAAGTGACACCACCAGGATGCGCCAGCAGCGCACTGGTGACGGGCCAGGCAGTCTGTTTCCGCGGAAAGTTCTTGGGATGTTTGAACAAGAGACATGGAGATCTTTAGGGATTTGTAGAGATTTACAAGGGGGTTGAAGATCTATTTCTGCAACCTGCATGGGTGTTGAAGCTGCTTTAGTCAGGAGGAGAGGGGATTTTCAGGAATTTTAGGGAATGACCATGGCTATTTGGCCCAGAAGCATTGCTGGTTGGTGGTTTCAAACATGTTTTATTTTCCGTAATATATGGGATGTCATCCTTCCCATTGACTAATATTTTTCAGAGGGGTTGAAACCACCAACCAGATTGCATGTACATCTCAGAAATATCATAAGATGTCACTTACGTCCACGACTTCCAGCTCAGATTGAGCGGGTCGACAATGACCGGTCAATGACTGTCATGACTGGATGCCCCGAAACTGCGGGGTTTGATCATCGTTTTCCGATCAAAGATGTTGAAAATCATGTTGAATATCAATATGTTCATCATTCAAAATGATATCAAATGATTCAAGCTGCATTTCTGAAAAACATGTTTAATTTATGGTCATTCTCCAATCAACATGGGTTATTAGATGCTAGTAGGATTGTTTTTTTTCCCCATGTTTCCATGTTTTTTCCCATCCTACTGGGACTAAGCCATCGGACGATTCGGAGAAGATCAGGCGGAGGCGGAGGACGCGGCAGAAGCAGCTGCAGAGAAGTGCCATGGCCGGTGATCATGCAGTTACTTAATGTATCTTAATGTTACTTATAATATGTTAGAACTGTTAGATATGAATCTAGTTACTTAATGTATCTTAATGTTACCCTCTGGTTATTTAACAGTTCGCCATGGAAAGATCCACCATTTTTAAGAACGGTAAAACATCTTTTTTTATGGGCCATCTATACCATGGCTATGTTAAATAACCAGATGGTACTTACATATGTTAGATATGAATATATATAGTTGTATTACTAGGTCTTATCCACATCTCCACATTTACCTGGGTAGTACACATAGTATGATGGTTAGATACACCTGATTTACACGCTTAGTGCACGCATATGCACACATAGACAAGGTGTATCTAACTATGCAATACTATGCACATCACATTCCCAAGATTGGTTGGTGGTTTGAAACATGAATCTAATTTTTCCATATATTGGGAAGAATCATCATCCCAACTGACTTTCACTCCATCATTTTTCAGAGGGGTAGGTATACCAACCACCAACCAGTTGCCATGGTTTCTCTCCGTTCCGCTGGGTTACTATGCGGCAATGATATTAGCGATGGATACCTGGCAAACTCCATATCACAGCCATCAATATCACAGGGTTCCTTCGTCCGGAGTTGACGATTCCGATCCCCTTGCGTTATTTTATGGTAATCACGAAACGTAGAGAGCTATGAATTTCCTACTCGGGGTCTACTGTTCCACTAATATATACAATTATCTGGGTAAATTAGATCACGACCTCACTGTTCTCCCTCACTGGAAATCATGGTTAGTAAGGGAAATCATCCCCAAATGGCCTTAATTCAGGTTCCGCGGGGGGGTGGTCATTGATCAACGGAGAACAACGGCCTTATTTCAGGTTAGTGAAATATTATAATTTACCCAGAATTATATGGGTTATATGACTATATAGTTGTAGGGGTCAACCTTAAAACCCAACTTCTGGAGCTTATTCCCATCGTTCAACGGTTACCCCAACTGCACCCCCAAACGCTTAATCGCTTAATGGGAACTGATGGTTTCTGGGTGTCGGACTTTCCCGACTCAACCAATCCAGTGATGGTTAAGTGCAGATGTTTGATGGTTTTCCATACCCATTCCTTGCTGAGCTGTGGCTAAGCCTGTCCTTTTTTGGTGCCTCAAAAAAATGCTGAGGTTGGCCACTTCGATGACATCGCCTTCTTTGGTGCTCTTCTTTGCCAAGGGCTATGGACCACGCCACTTGGAGACGGACTTGACCCGGGGGGAAGGGGGATGGGGGATGGAAATGATACCCATTGATTCAAGGGAAAATCGTGGGAGCATCATGCGAAGATATGGGAACTCCATAAATGGCGGATGTTTTCTTCGGGAAAAAAAATGGAGACATAGCGGATGTTCTCCAGCAATGCTTGATTACTGGTACTCTGGAGGATCTTGAGACCCAAAAATGGTGGAAAAGTCGGATTGACCTGACTTCTCGGTGAAAGGAGCAACTGCAGAGAACTGAATTAAGTACATTCAAGTTTTTATGAGCTAGTTGGATGATTTCCTAACTGGAATGATTTTCTGAGTTAACACTTAACATTAACTGATGATTATCCATTTTTCCTAACATTAAATCAGTTGGATGGAGTATCCGGCAATCTTCTGGATGATTTTCCTGCTGGTCCCAGATCATCATCCGTTAGCCAAGACGACGACCCAAATCTGAGTCATCAAAAAATCGAAGGATGACCACCCCAAAAAAAAGGTCATAAAGAGATTATATGGCTATTTTATGGGTAGTTCTTTTTTCCCACTATCCTTCCCATGATTTCCTACCTGTCGGAGCTCACAGGTGCCAGATCCATGGGCAGCATCTTCCAAGTCCCTCGCAGAAATTCTCTATCCGAGTTGTGTAACTGGATGATATGGAGGTTTCCTAAGATGTGGCTCCCCCTTAAACAATGGCTTTCAATACTAATTGACGGCTACCCTCTGGTAAATAAACATAGACCCTGAAAATCACCAATTTTTAATGGAAACTAGTCTTCCAACCCCTATCTGCCAGGGTCGAACTGTTAATTTACCAGAGGGTAATTCTAGATGATAAACTGGGTACCCCCAGTTTAGGAAAACCTGAATCTGTTGGCTATCATTTAGGGTTATACAAAGTTATAGCCATCAAGATATTGGTGATCCCGAAATCCACCTGATTTCGAAGCAGTTTTTTGAAGGGAGATATTTTTACGAGATGAACAGGTGGAAACATGTTGGGAGATGACAAAATTCGGCGACAGGAGGTTCCGGGAACAGATGCTTTGTTGACCTAGGCAAATTCAGATCCAAGTTGCAAGAAAATCGGAAGAGCCGATAAGAGTCATGATGCAATAGGTGGAAACCAAGTATTTATAAATGATCCTCCGGAAATTTCACATAAATATGGAAGCCATGGCCCATTTAGTTCGATTAAGATGCCATTTACCCATTCAACGTGGTGATTTTCTTCGCAGACTGTGAAATTACCAGAGGCTATATGAAGTTTTTGCATGGTTCATACAAGGCTTCAAGGTGGTGCTCCATATTTAGCTAAGTTGGTGAACATAACTCCAATAACTGGTGGTAGCTACAACTTGTAGGGGCCGCACCAGCTTGTAGGTAAATCCAGAACATGAGTTGGCCAAGTTAGATTACCAGACCGTACAAGTAACCTAGCCATGGTGAAAAAAGTAATGGACATATATAGACATGATATGACATGATATATTTGATTGTAGGGCTTCGCACACCGGCGATGCCCCAAGGGTTGTTGTGGTTGTGGTTGTGGTTGTGGTTGTGGTTGTGGTTGTGGTTGTGGTTGTGGTTGTTGTTGTTGTTGTTGTTGTTGTTGTTGTTGTTGATACCCCTACAGCTTTTTCTCAGTCTATTTTCGTGGCCGAAAATCGTCAGATAGGTGGCGCCTTGTTCTTGTTGCTCTTGTTGTTCTTGTTGTTCTTGTTTTTGTTTCTGTTTTTGTTTCTGTTTTTGTTCTTGTTGTTGGTGGTGTTTTTTTGTTGTTGCTGTTGCTGTTGTCTTTGCAACCTCTCTTCCCTGACGTGTTCCCCCTTGCGCAGCGGGGGTCAGCGGATCATAAACTCATATTTAGATCAAACCAGAAGATGTGATAATTAAAACCTGACAAATCATAGCCTCAACCTGACAACGAAGCACTTGTTGTAAGCCTTGCTTTCAGAAAATGGGTTGGCCAAGTTACTATAGATTGCAGACGGCACGAGTAACCATAACCTAACCATGGTGAAAAAAATTGGAAATTACATATTTGATTAGTACAGTATATAATATATATATATACATTTTTTTTAAAGATCAGGTCCAATTTCCATCAATTATCATTAATGGATTAGCATGGATTGTTTTTATATTCTCTGTACATTTTAATGGATGCAATAACAAATTTAAGGTGTTTTGACAGGGTTTCTCGGCCCCCAACAGTTTTCAGCAACGGATGTTGGCTCTGACATCGCAACAAAATCATGCAATGAAACAATTGAAGTATGGGGACAAATCACCAAGTGTTTCTGCATAAAATTTAAATGTGGTGACACAGGCAGGTATCCGAAGTGATGTTTCAACATTTTTTGTTTCTATCTCTGTCCCCTCTGAAAAATTGACGCTGGTAGCAATGGTTTGGTGCGTTACTGTAAGGAATACGTTGTATGTTTGCTATGCTGCTATGTATTGGTGATATTTTGTTATTCGATATTGATTTTTTAATTTGCCAATAGATGCGTAACGCGTAGTAATTGATTTGTATTTAAGTCAAGTAGTTGGTATTTTGGTGGTGCACGGAACTCATATCAGGAATATAAAAACTGATTTGCACCTACCTTAACAGGCAACTGATCTTCTAACAAACCTACCTGCAATATCAAACTATTCACTTTCTACCAACCAAAAATATCCTGCTCACCAATGTCAACATAGGAGCAATAAGTCCTGGCTGACTAAAAATCCTTGCAGCTGGTGCGGTGAAAGCTCGTTGGTGTAAAAGCCAGATTGTGCAAAAATTGGTTGGTGTAAAAAAAATGACATTATACAAGTGACTTAACTAAAAACCATACTTAATTCAACTATTCATGACAAAAAATATCTGTGAATGCTGTTTTATTAATCCCTTCCCCTAATACTAACCCATGCTAACCTTCCCGAAACGCCAGGAGCGTTTCAAGGACGCCACAGTGCTGGGCTGCAACAGCGAAGGTGGCGTCGCTCGGCCTTTCGCCTCGGCCATAAAATATCCCATAGGATCCATGTTACCATATATAGCAGCACCATGGATCCGTCATGGGTATGGAATATGATATGAATACATTTTTCAGGTTTGGTACCTGAGTATTTTAGGGGAACTCGCAATTTGATGGTTCAGTCAAGAGGGAGCAGAACACAATGTCCGTGCCATGAAATGGGCATTTTGCCTCATTTTCAAACATAAGCATGTAAACTGAACTGGGATTCATCCACTTCATCCCCAAAAATGAGACATTTTCCTATGGTTTCTGGGTAGGTTTTAGGGTTTCTACAGCGCTGCTGTTGGTCAATTTCGCATCATCTATGAGGCAGATGTTCATTGGAGATTTTGTTGAAAGTTACAGTAGCAACTGGTTTGTCTTCCTGGCGTGGCTGCCCCCTGTGGGTTCTCCGTAGGATATATATATATTATTATATATTTATCCTGGGTTTGTTTAAGGGATTGTTTATTTTCCCAATGGAAATCCACCATTTGGGGAATCTATAGTGAATATTTTTTATTTTTTGGGGACCCCTTAAGCAAATCCAAGTTATATTGGGAAGACAACCCAGTTTCTATCCCCTAATCATCTGGATAAATCTGGATTATCCTAAAACATCATCTGGAAAAATAAACGGAAGAGGTCTATGGAATTAACCAAAGTAATGATAATCATCTAGAATCTAGATGATTTTTACATACATCATTATGGAAGATCATCTGGATCAATCATACCAGCCGAACTGCTCACTTGAATGATGGCTTGTACAGTAATGGGTAACTCTCACTGGCCGCAAGCTGCAAGAGGTGGTGTCCAAAACAATTGGGCACCCGAAAACCACCTGGAAAAACATCATTTTGGAATTATGTAAATCATTGGGGTATCCTTGAGTTCTCAAACGACTAAGTTATGGTTGCTTACACACCCAAATTTTGGACAAACTCAATTTATCTGAACTGGAAAATTATTGTGCTGTTGATTACGTTTCCATTACAACCCCATTAGGGTCTAGTCTATATCACCAAAACCGTGTTGACAAAATCTTCAAAGTATCATCATTTTGCCCAGTTCAACCCCAAGTCGTTGTTAGTCAAAATCCATGATCATTCCCATTTACTGTACAATGATTATATGTAGGCCAAACTCCCCCCAAAATAGCAGAACTATCCCAATTTGCAATGATTTTATATACTGTTCGAACTCCCCAACAAAAATTAGCAAAAGTATCTTCACCATTTTTCTAAAATAATTCTCCATGTTCTTCCATGTTAGATGCCCAACAGAGATATTCCAGGTATCTTCACCATGGTTTTTCTCAGTGATGCCATGCCGTGGCGCCGTGGCAAGTCGCGAGGTCATCGCCGAGGGTCAGGAGCAACAGACCCAAACCTTTGGTTTGGCCGCGCTGGCGCTCGCGGGAGGCGACGAGTCGCAGAGCTCACGGGAGATGTGGGAAACCGCTTGGGAATAAGAATGGTTAATAATGGTTAATAGTTGTTAATAATGATTAATAGTTGTTAATAGTGGTTAATAGTTGTTAAGAATGATTAATGGTTGTTAATAACGGTGACTAGTTGTTAAGAATGATTAATGGTTGTTAATAATGATTAATAGTTGTTAATAACGATTAATAGTTGTTAATGATGGTGAATAGTTGTCAAGAATGATTAATGGTTGTTAATAATGGTGAATAGTTGTTAAGAATGATTAATGGTTGTTAATAACGGTGACTAGTTGTTAAGAATGGTTAATGGTTGTTAATAATGATTAATAGCTGTTAATAATGATTAATAGTTGTTAATAATGATTAATAGTTGTTAATAATGATTAATAATTGCTAATAGTGGTGAATAGTTGTTAAGAATGATTAATAGTTGTTAGGAATGATTAATAGTTGTTAATCATGATTAATAGTTGTTAATAAAAATTAATAGTTGTTAATAATGATTAATAGTTGTTTATAATGATTAATAGTTGTTAATAATGATTAATAGTTGTTTATACTGATTAATAGATGTTAGTAATGATTAATAGTTTTTTTCTTTTTTTAAAGAATGATTAATAATTGTTAATAATGATTAATGGTTGTTAATAATGATTAATAGTTGTGAATAATGGTTAAAAGTTGTTAATAAAGTTCAATAGTTGTTAATAATGGTTAATAGTTGTTAATAATGATTAATACTTGTTAATAACGGTGACTAGTTGTTAAGAATGATTAATGGTTGTTAAGAATGATTAATGGTTGTTAATAATGATTAATAGTTGTTAATAATGATTAATACTTGTTAATAATGATTAATAGTTGTTAATAATGATTAAGTAATAGTCAGTTGTTGATTGTTGATAATGTTATATAAGTAATATAGCGATGTCATGGGATATAGATGTGGGTCTAGGTTTTGAAAATTGGTGAATTTTCATGGGCAATTTTCGAAACTACAGAGCCCTAGAGCATACTCCTTTCTTTGATTTTGGGGTTGGAGGGACTTGGGGTGTGCGAGGTATGTTCAAATCATTTTGGATAATATATATATATGTTACATGTTTTTCTTTTAGGGATATGAAATGACTGTCAATAACTATTGCCCGCAATATCTGGTTGGTGGCTAGAAATATTTACACATGGCAAAAGAATGCGAAGGAAAATCATCCACTTGAGGATGATTTACCTGTTAAAAGCAACAAGACATGGAGGGATTCCCAGCCAAAATGCAAAATGGAGATAAACCCAGAACATCTGGGTCACTAGTACCTAGATCTACAGAGTACAACCAACATCAACTGATAGCCATCACAAAATTATACAACATTTATGTCATGAGTCAAACTTGGCCGACCAAATTGGTTCAAATTTCGGATTTTGCAGGTTCCATGATGGAACCTGGAAACCGATCAACGTAGTTCCCCCGAGTCGACTCGTGTCACATGTCGCGACTCGCACGGGCGCTGTTGTTGCCACTGCCGACACTTGCACTGGTGCAGCTGCGAGGGAATCGGACATGGCAGGAAGACCTTGGAGGTGCCGATTTTTTTTTGGGGGGATAAACGGATAAACCAAGGTGAACCAACAAACATGGTGATTGAATCCGTTCAGTTGCTGGTTGTGGCTTCAAGAAATGGATTTTCAGGCCACAAATTGAAAGCACCAAATCCCGGACTGGTCAAATCAATACCATTATATAAAGGAACGCAACACATGACATTTCGGGGGACATAAACCTGGGCGAATGGTTTCTGACTGAGTGAATTATGGACATTTATATAAATAGTATTTATATAAATAGTATTATGGACATTTATATAAATAGTATAAATAGTATTCATGGAATAATTTATAGTATATATTTCTTCATGGGGATATATTGTCTGAAACAAATGTGTAAATTTTGTGTACAACTTCCAAATTCGATGGTTTCAAACCAAATTTTCCCGATAGAAATGGCAACACTTCGGTGGCCCATACCGCCCATACCCCATAAGGTACCTCCATATGTGCAGAACATCCCGAGGTCTCCAAATATGAACAGATGGGATTCTTTGATTCGCTCAGGAATGAGACAGCAAATATGGCATAGAAACATCTATAAATATTATATTATATTAATTATATAATATAATATAATATTATATTATATTATATTTATTATATTATATTATATTATATTATATAATATTATATACCCTCTGGTAAACGTTTACATAACTATGGAAATATCCACCATTTGGAATAGGTAAATCAACTGTTTCTATGAGCCATTTTCAATGTCGCAAACTGTAACAGTCATTACCAGGCCGGGTATATATATGACAAAAGGTCGACTCTCCATGACAGGATGGTCCCCCAATATTTCTTTCAAACTGAAGGAAACATTGCGCTAAAGCATCAACAACAACTCTAAGTTCAGTCAATTTTTAGCCGATGACATCAATTCATACCGAACATGAATTTGGGTCGGAAATTAAGTGAGGGATACCGCCGAGGACAATGGCCATGGCTATTTTTGGATCATCCATGGGAAACATCCATTATCAGCGAGCGTTGCAAGCTTATCAGCCAATTCTTTGAGAAAGTGCAATGGAACATTCCCCGACAAGTTAATTTAAGTTGTCTAAACACAAGTATATGTGTATATATATATATTATTTATGAATATACATGTGATATATATATATATATATGTGCCTGTGTGTGTACGTAAGTGAGAAACATATTTATGTGCATAAATATAAACAAGAAGATGTGTACATTTGTATGTATGCTGGTGTTGCTCGGCTTGGCATTTTGACTTTAGGGTCTTGGCGTGTTGTCTTTCTCCTTCTTTCCGGTGCGCTCAGGTCGGAGGAGAAATCTGGCAGTCCTCTTTCGTCGGCGCCTTAGGATTTATCGCCTGATGTTTTTCTTTCTTGTGTTTTTTCTTGGCTGTTCCAGGCACCATGCGACGTCGATTGCCCGCTCGGAGTTGGCATCTTGGTTTGTCTTGTGTACTGTGTGCACGCTAGTGCATTTGCTCGACGTGTGTTGCTGCTATTATCTTGACGCGTCAGGTGCCCACTCGCGCCCTCGCCGCCTACCTCGAGGCTCCTGGCCGCGCTTGTTTTTGTTTGCGCACAGACAGAGGCTACTATTCTCGCCGGGTCCGTCCTTTGTCTATACACTGAGGCCATCTTCGCCAGTCGACCTTCGCCCGAAGCACTGCAGAAGGTCATGCTGATTGTGATGTGGATGATGCTGCTGATGATGCTGATGCTGGTGCTGATTTTGCTCCTGATGCTGATGATCCTGGTGATGCAGCTCCTGCTGAGGCCGCTCACCGCGTAATTCCCCCACTGAGTGGCTTGGCTGCAGTCTTGTCTATGATGGTCGCGACCCCGAAGTTCTTTCGGCGCCAAGGCTACACGGACCCGGCCACGCTCAATGATTGGTGGGCCAATGAAGCCCACCAGCAATGGGCGTGGCAGTGGGACTTCTACCTGGAGGTCTAGGAAAAAACACAGAAAGGGTGGAGAAAAAAAGCAGCAGCGTGCAATTCGGAAACGCCGTCTGCGTCTGCAAAACCCTTTTGGTGGTCGACTGTTCCGAATGCCAAGCTTTGCCGTGCAATCTATCGATCTATCGATCTATCGATCTATCTATCAATCTATCGATCTATCTATCTTTCTATCTATCTATCTATCTATCTCTCTCTCTATCTATCTATCTATCTAATCTAATCTAGTCTAGTCTAGTCTAGTCTATTCTATACTAATTCTATTCTATTCTATTCTGTTCTATTCTATTCTATTCTATTCTATTCTATTCTGTTCTGTTCTATTCTATCTATTTGTCTTTATTTGTCTTTATTTGTCTTTATTTCTGTATATGTATATGTATAGTAAAGACGTTTCTTTGCTTTTGGGAGGCAGCTTTCAAAAGAAAAGCCGTAAGGCCTCAAGTACGTCTGCAACTTAGGCTGTGTGTTGTTGTTTTTCTGTTTTGGGATGCTGGGTTTGTGCAGGTGTAACTTTGCTTTATTGAAGTTTCTTGTCAGCAACCATATGTTTTTTTTCATTGTCAGGAGACAGCCTGTGTGAAATTGCCTTTGTCGTCGAGCGGGGTTCTCAGTTTTATCTGGGCGCGATGTCCGATGCTTTGGGGCATATTCGAATCGTCTTGGTTGTTCTGTTTTTGCTTTTTTTTGCTTCAGTGTTTGGCGGTTTTAGCTTTGGCCGCGTTCTTTCTTTCTAGCGTTGTGCCAGGTGCAGTTAGCGACCAAAGGAACCAGGACTGTGGCAGCGCGTTTGCCCCGGAGGGAAGCTTGCCAATTGAAAGCCAGAGCAGATTTCTGTTTTTTCATGAACTGAACGGATTCTAGTTTCGATCTGTTGCATATGGAATGTAGATGATTGTTCTGTTGTGCAATGCTTGTGATCTTGCATGCGGATTGCGCATTGAGGTTATCCTGAGGGAATGCCTTGATAAAGTTCAAGCCCGCAAATTTTGACTGACAAAGCTGGCAAAAAGATGTTTGCTGCTTTTGCAGCAGGAGACGCGTTGCATTCTTTTGGAATCAGGCATGCTTTTGTTGTGGTGTTAAAATTGTTCTAACTGAGACAAAATTTGGTAAATCAAGGCATCTTTGTTTTTTCCATATCACTATGAAGCATCAACCTCCAAGCTGATCAGTCATGTCTTTGGCTGGCACGAACAGCTAAGGAATCGAATACAGCAATATGGTGATGTGCAACCTTTTTCTTTTTGTAACGATGTGTTTGTCATAGAGCTTAATGAGCATGCCTTTCAGGATTGGATGTGCAATCAGTGTGACTTCTCAAGCTGGGTAGTTGATCCGCAGTAGTTTTGGTTGTTTTGTTTTTCAACATCAGTGTTGACCTCAGCTAGGGGTTCAGGGTGCTGGTGTTCTAAAGACAGCAATACTTTGCACTTTGTTTGTCAGGATTCCGGGGTAGGTTTGGACCTTGTTGTCTGCATGTTTATGTTCTTTTACCGGGCTAGACCGTACGTGGCAGGCGTGGCACTTATGGCACTGGGTGGCGCGCTTGTGCTGGTTTTAGTCGCCCGTGACGCCGCGGCACTTTGCGTGCCAGGCGTGTCACTTGGTGACATCTACGTTCGTTTCACGTGGCAGGCGTGGCGCAATGTCACATCCACCTTCGTTTTGCGTGGCAGGCGTGGCACTTATGGCACTGGGTGGCGCGCTTGGGCTGGTTTTAGTCGCCCGTGACGCCGCGGCACTTTGTGTGGCAGGTGTGGCACTTGGTCACATCTACGTTGGTTTCACGCGGCAGGCGTGGCACTTGGTGACATCTACGTTGGTTTCACGTGGCATGCGTGGCGCAATCTCACATCCACCTTGGTTTTGCGTGGCAAATGTGGCACCATCTTTGACACACCCTCTTTCACACATCACTTTGTCACACACCATCTTTCACACACCATCTTTCACACCCAACTTTGTCACCCACCATCTCTCACGCACCATCTTTCACACACCACTTTGTCACCCACCATCTTTGACACACCATCTTTCACACACAACTTTGTCACACACACACACCATCTTTCACACACCACTTTGTCACACACCATCTTTGACACACCCTCTTTCACACACCATCTTTGTAACACACCATCTTTCACACACCATCTTTTACACCCAGCTTTGTCAAACACCATCTTTGACACACCATGTTTCACACACCACTTTGTCACACACCACTTTGTCACACACCATCTTTCACCACACCATCTTCCACACACCATCTTTCACCACACCATTTTTCACACACAACTTTGTCACACACCATCTTTGACACACCATCTTTCACACACCACTTTGTCACACACCGTCTTTCACACACAACTTTGTCACACGCTCTCTTTCACACAGAACTTTTACCCACACCATCTTTCACCACACTATCCTTCACACACCACTTTGTCACACACCATCTTTCACCACACCATCCTTCACACACCACTTTGTCACACACCATCTTTCACCACACCATCCTTCACACACAAGTTTGTCACACACCATCTTTCGCCACACCATCTTTCACACACCACTTTGTCACACACCATCTTTCACACACAACTTTGTCACACGCTCTCTTTCACACACAACTTTCACACACACACACCATCTTTCACACACTGCTTTGTCACACACACACACACACCATCTTTCTTCGTCACACACCATCTTTCACATTCCACTTTGTCACACACAACTGTTTTAACTTCTCGATCCTTCACCGCCTCCTTTCCCTTTCCTTCCTTCCCCGTCCCTGCTACAACCTTTGCTGCTCATTATTGGAAGAAGTTGACTTGTGGGGTTCTCCGGTCCTTTAATTTTGGGTTTCTAGTGAGACAAAGCTTCATTAGCAAGTCCTTCAGGATCGGATGTGCAATGTGCAGCAAGAGTTGTTGCAGATTTTCGGTTCTTTTGGTCATCTTTGAGTAGGCTTGTCGTTTGAGTAAGATTACATTTTTGGACTCTGGTTTGTTCGGAACTTGCATTAAGCCTCACGTATTTTCCGATGCTGAGCAATATTGTGTGCTGCTTGTCCGCAGTGTGTTTCTTCAAGTGCTTTTAAACGGTGTAAGTGGCTTTGTTCTTCGCTCCGCATTTCGCATTGCCCTCAGCAGAGTTTTTTTTTTTAGTGCTTTTGCTTGTGATGTTTTCGTTTCTCGAGCAGTTGTCGGTTGCCTCTGAAGTTCTTGCAGTGAAGTTTTACATTGCTGCAATTTTTTGATATGCATTTCTTTGTTTTGCGCTGGTGCCTGACGTGCAAGTCTAGTCTACGTCGTGTCTTCTCAGGTCGAGGTCTTTTTTTAATTTACTTATATAGCTTTTAAGATTAGGTAACTAAATATGTTTGCTGTAATTAAAACTACTTAAGAAAGATCTTCTTGTTTTGCTAATTGTGTATTATAATTTTCATAAGTGGTATTCACAGGCAATACTTTTTTTTGCATTAGTATATTGATGCGCACAGGAGGATAGAGAAATATTATTTTTAGGTATTTCTTTTATTTGCTTATCTGTGAATTATTATTTGTTCTTAGCGTTTCAAATAGGTTTTATTCTAATTAACTGTTGTTTCTCCAAAGTAGTTTCACCAGATTTAGTTCCCTGTATACCCAACCTGAATCTTATTTTTCATTATCTAAACCAAGCACATTACTTTTTACTGTAAAATGTCTATTTTGCTTATATTGATTAGCAATATCTTGTAAAACTTGCTTAGATTCTACATCAGGTTCATGAATAAGCCCTACAACATCTTTATCTAAATCTAAAAAAACACCAAAATTTGTAAATACACATGTTCAAACTCATTGCAAACAGCTTCAAAAGTGGATCTCAGGGGGAAGGCTAGCATATATATATATGTGTATGTATCTAAATGTGATTTTCATTGTGGAATATTGTGTGTGTGTATGTATATATGTATGTATATATATATGTATGTATATATATATATAACCCAGGCAAACCCGAAGTTCACGAAGCATACATGACGTGAGCAAGTTCACACGGACGTTAACATCCCCCCACCCCACCCAAACCCCGAAGTTCACGAAACATACATGACGTGAGCAAGTTCACAGGGACGTTAACATCCCCCCCACCCAAAACCAAAAAAAAAACAAAAAAATGGGTTTCGTGACCAGTTGCCTGGGGGCGGCGTTGGGAACTAACATAGCCATGGAAAATGATGGAACATGGCCCATTTATAGAAGATGTAGTATATAGACTATATAGATATTTGATATTTGATGTTCAATGATTTTCAATAGTTGTTTTTGTTTACCAGAGTCTAACCACAACTAATCGGGCTTATGAATCGCCAACCAGGTTAGAAAAAAAACGGGGAAAAAATCGGAAACATCAGGTGCCTTACAGCTGGCGGTTGAAGATGTGGCACCTTGGAATTGGCTGGAAGGAGCAAAACCTGAGGGGGAGGAACTGGTGTCGGCACGTGGCTGAGCTGCGCTGGGGTGGGATGGGGCTTGAAATGGAGATAGAATTTTCGTGTATATAGTTTAACATATATATATATAATATGCAGTTATATATATATATACTGTACTGTACATACACGGAGTTTTATCCTATTGAAGATAAACTTCTGTAGCGAGTTACATAGGTCAGCCACAGCAAATTTCCCTCCCTTTCACCGTCCCCTTTCTGGAGGGGTAAACCATGGTAAAACCACTTCAACCCCATCCAACTTGGCAATGATAGAACAGTACACATGGAGTCAGAAACGATTCTACCCTCTGGTAAACGTTTACATAACTATGGAAAATCACCATGAAATTCATGGGTAAATCAACTCCAAATGGCCATTTTCAACAGCAAACTGTTAGTCTTTACCAGAGGGTACCCCCCAAAGAAACTACTCATATCGGATCCCATGAGTGGTAAAACATAGGAACAGCACCGAGAAATTGCGATGTCTTGGGATTGAATCGCTATCACTCGCCTAAGCCGATGCACTTATCTTATTGAATCTATTGGTATTCTCTGGAAAGATTTGGGAAAATGTATATAAATCCATTATAAATCCAATTTATGATCATCTTCAATATTCTCTTTAATGATTTTTTAAAAAATAATCATAGATCCAATCCAACTCCATTATCCAATCCAATCTGTATTGGATTTCCATGTCCCTGGCGGACCACGACCTGGGTCCAGGTGTGTTCCCTGGGTCCAGGTGTGTTCCGCATCAACTGGACGGTCTTGATGGCCGTGCTGAAAATCTGTCACCTGGCGATGGTTGCGATGGTTGAAACCATGTGTTGACGAAAAAAAATCCTACTGTACATCACTTTAATGATCTTTAATAGAATTTTATGGACATTTTACAAAGCTATACCTATGCAATGTATAAAATCATATAGATATATTACATTTATTACATATACCATCATATACCCAGCCATGTTTCGGCAGTTGAAAATCCGGATGGTGCGGATCAGGTCTGATGCTATGCCTGGGCGTGCACCTGCACTTCCGCAAGCTCTTGACGGGAGACAGGCGCCATGGCATGGTAGAGCCTGGTTTTTAAGTGGCTTTTTAGGTGTCATGGGGGCCCAAATCTGCCCAAAACCGTTGGTTAATTGTTAGTTATACTATGCTATATGTTATAGGATGGTTTTCGGATTGTTAGGCCACGATGATAAACCTCTATAGGATCAATATAATGGGGATTATGACAAACCACTATGTTAAATGCCGCAGTGTTTGTGGACTCCACCGTTTCTCAGCCATTTGACCACCACCGTTTTCTCCCGCTGCGACTAGCAGGCGCAAATGCTTGAGCGCTTTGTCGCAGGAGATTTGCTTGAAACTGGGCCTGACTGTTTTTCCACGATCAAGACGCTAAGGGATTCTAAGGCGGAACATGCACAAACCAGTATCGTGGGAATTTCGACTATGACCCTGATCGAAATCCCATGGGTTTTGGGTCAGCCCACATGGATCGATATGGCGATATGGGTTTGTTCATAGGATACCAGGCGTTACCACCCGCAGATATGATGGTTGATCGATGTTGATCGGTTGCAAAAACAAGGCCTGGGAAAGCATTGGAACGCCAGATCCAAAATGACAGTCTGGCTCAAGTGTTTCGATTGGAGATTTCGACTATAAAGCATTCATACTTGGCTGTGCGGATTAAGCTTTCGACCAAGGTTTGGCTTTTCTCACTATTGGCAATGGGTAAAATCATGAAAATTTAAGGAGGAACTTCAGTCGCGAAAATTGCGGCGAAAATCCAAGGCCATGCTTGCTCTTCGCGCATGCACTTCCACAGGTGCGGAATGGTGCGGATAAGGTCATGCTGAGATCGTAAAGATCTGGGCGTGGATACGTTGAGAAATTGTGGCTTATGGCATCTTAAAGCCATGAAACATGGGGATATCAAATGGAACAGACAATGGGATAAACAAACTCTAGTGCAATTGTTGACAGATTGCCATGGAAAAGCAAAAACACCATTTACCTTGAATATATTTCCCATGGCGATCCATTACCGGGACAAAACAATGCAATGTTTTCTTTTCTGCAGGGTGTCTAGTAAGAGTTGCCATGCACTGTCTTTCTCCCCAAAGAATCTGGAGAAGTGAATATGTTGTGTCTGTCTTGTTTTGTGCATGTTTTCTTTGCTCTGCTGCCTTTCAACGTGACTCAACAAGTTCAACCTGACGTGGGAATGACGGTCGCGGTTCATTCATTCTTTGGGAGCTGGCTGCAAAAGCCCAGGACCAGGTATAGGTGATTCAAGAGTGATCCATTAACAACTGAAAGATGTTCTTTTTTTTGAATCCCTCGCCCGCAAATACAAAAAACAACATTTTCTGATATAGGGAGCCCAAGTTATGGACAGATCCGACACATCAAACAGGACTTCGTTTCAGGATTACCAGGTAATTGGCACCCTTTTTTCGATGGCAGGGCAGTTTGCTCCTGATCAAAGAGGGCTGGCCGCTGCTGCTGTGGCCCTTTGCCTATACCATCTTATCTGCCGCGTTCCTTGGCGCCAAGCGTGCAAGACGTTCAGCGTTCAGCAAGTGGAAGTGAAAAAATGGCAAGTGAGCGAACTTGAATTTGATTTGATTTGTATGGTTTTACCATATGAAAACTAAAGGTATACACTGGTGGTTGGTTTTTATATGTTTTTATTGGGGAAAGATAGCAAATGTCCAATAGCCATCGGTAAACTTGCCAAGCTTAGAGGAAGATCCGCCCATTTTTTGGTCAAGCCGAGGTTTTTTTTTAGGGGGTTCAAGATGTTCTGAAGGGCTATGATGGGAAAGGTTCATCCCATTGTTTCATAGTTTTTTTTCACAGCAGAACTCGGTCTTCATATGTTTAACACTCTGGGAATCTGTGGGATATGTTCTGTGCGATTAGCTGGCGCAAAAACACATTCGTTGTCAACTTTAACAAGAAACTCATTGACTCATTGCCTATGCATAGCCACTGCAGTCTTGTTTTCTAGATGATCTTTCCAAATTCTCCCATCAAACACCTTTTTTGTTGGTAAAACCACCATTTTTGTTGGTTAAACCTAGGAGTACTTCCACCATTTTTGTTGGTTTTTTATACACCGGTTCGTATCGGTCAAACGCCATTTTTTGTTGCTCGAATCATGGCGCATCCAGCAAGTTCTTCTCGAGAAACAACGGTTAGCCCTTGTTCAATCGAGGTTTACCCTCTGGTAAACAAACAGTTTGCTATTGAGAATTGCCATTTAGAGTTGATTTACCCATGAATTTCATGGTGATTTTCCATAGTTATGTAAACGTTTACCAGAGGGTAGTTCTAACCATGCTCTGGGATGAAGCCAGTGTTTTCTTGCAAATGATATCATACGTTTACCCGTATTGTTATTCTTTGTTCCCATGTTTTTTTAAAATGATTTTCTTGATTGAAGCCTGACAATCCACCAGAGTTTGAATCAAAGTCGCGCTTACTAGTCGTAATAGTTACAATAGTCAGTAACTAACCCAGTTGTGAATTAATAGGGAGCTTTCAACAACCCAAGTAGAAACTAATCCACATCTCATCACTACTATTATCCAATTAATATCCCATCAATCACCACTAATAACCATTAATCGTCACTATTAAACACTATTAACCACCATGAGCCATCATAAAACAACACTAATCAACCACTAATCAACACCTCATTAAGCGGCAACATCTCAGGCTGCTCTTGTGTCTGGCTCCTTTGGCCATCCCTCGCAGCCAGTGGGGCATCGCCAGCGCCTGCGCTGCCTTCCCGACGGTCTATGGCATTCCCATTGCGGTGATCAGTGCTGTGGATGTCTCGAACTGTGAGAACTGGGTGTGTTGAAAATGGCGATGATTGGACTAACTATGTTTTTTTGGATATTGGGCTATTTTTTTTAACCATCCAATAATATCCGGATATATCAACTATTATGATTTTGGATATTCCATTGAATATCAATAATATCACTGATTAGCTGGTTAATGGATGGTTATTGCCCCCAAATATGGTAATAACGTGGGTAAAATAATGCCATAAGCCACCCATGACTGGGAATGGTAAACATACTATACCACATATATTTATGGTGATGACTGGGTGATGGTTTATGTCAGTTTATGTTTTTGTTTTTGTTTACCCACATTATACGGTATACCCGTATACCCCAAAATAGTCCTTGTTAATGGGGAAATGATCATAAACCATTGGCTTTTGAACAAACCCGATTTTCAAACAAACCCAACTGTTTGCCATGAACAAGTTATAGCCTGGTTGATTAGTTACGAACTGTTGGGACTTATGCTACTGATATCTACTACTGTAATATATACTGGGGATATCTGAAGATGATAATTGGGAAACCGTTTTCAAGCAACTAGTATTTCATGAGATGGGATAGTAGTATTTTTAATGGTTCAGCTGGAGGACGTATCACCCAGATAAAACCACTATAATAATTCAAGGAATCATGGGACATCAAAAAAAATCTAATGGTATCATGGGATTCTTTAGAATTCCACTTTGTGATATATCTGGAATCTTTGAATACATGGGATGTAAGCCATAATATTAATGGGATTGTCATATCTGGAAATATATAATCACCATGTATGGGATAGATATTATTTCTACTATGTATCACCATGTATCACCATGTATCACCAATAATCATATTGGAATATAATGGGATAAATATAACCAATACTATATATGTATAGCAAGTAAGTAGTGATGATTTCAACAATTGGGACTGTTCGGTGGCTTCAGCTATAGTATGGGACAAAAACTACATGGGACATACAGTGGAACACCATCGGAATATAGGAATCACGGCCTTATTTCAGGTTAGTGAACTATTATCACTGGCACGATGTAACGGCATAATAGTGGGGATATAATAGTGGGGATCTAATATGCAATGGGACATTTGTGAATTAGCATATCCAAATGAATATAATGGTGTATATCTATATATATATATATATACATATACTTAAATATACTTAACTATGATATACGTAATAAGCCATACACTTCATACTATGTCCCATTAATGGCTACACAACATACACTTGGGATACAAGTCCCACCACAGGTGGGAAAGTTGACCGTGGTATTCCCAAATGTTTTCCACTCGGGCCTTTGGAGCGACGATAACAGATGATCAACAAATGATGCATATAGATATATAATATCTTTTTTGCTACGGCCTTTTGAGTCTTAACGACGCGCCCTGTAATTAACTGGTTGGTGGATTCAACTATTTTAAAGTTCCAGCAGATGGGAATGATGATCCCGACTTACAGGATATAGATATAGCTCACCTTGATGGTATATCACCAGCGATCGTGGGATATAACATATATATATATATATATACACAATAGGAAAATAATGGTACATATACTGTGTATTTACATATATGTACATGTATACAATACTAGACTATAACGGAAAGGACATTTTTGAGAGCTATACATGATATATGCACTGACATTTGGGTAAATAGTCGGGTACATCATTGTAGTTCACCATGATGGTAATGATGGTAATGATGGTAATGATGGTACTGAAATACTAAGTTTATGCTATGGTGAACTACAATTATGTACTTAGTATATTATGATAATACTAATAATTAGCCATATGATAATGCTAAGCACTAAGTGTGTTATGATGTTATGCTATGGATATGTCATGCTGTATGTCATGCCACTTCAGGCCCTAAGATCAGCTGTCATTCGTTGTGAAATCTTCATCAACTTGTCCATGAAATCTTGATAAATTCCTCGATTCCCGGAAAACAAAAAAACATGGAAATTGTACAAAGCTGGAATCATGGGGAAAACCATATTCATCACATAGTTATGTACTATTTTGAGACTACTGGGAAAGTTGCAGGTACCCTTCTGAAAGATTACCCTCTGGCTATTTAACATAGCCATGGAAAATCACCATAGAAATAGTAGATGGTTTACCTATTGATAGCATGGTGATTTTCCATGGCAAACTGTTAAATAGCCAGAGGGTAAGCACAACTTTCCCCATAGTCTCATGGTCAACTCCCCAATCTTTGCTGGTCACATCCCCACGTGTTTTCATGCCCAGATCCACCTAATCTCAATCGTTACGAACCAACCTCCTATTTTGGTTCGTTACATCCATTTCTTGGGATTATATCTTATTTAAATATCTGATAGTATCTATATATATATATATTCCCAGCCTCCTAAAAAAATCAATACTTCCCATGCACCTCCAAAATGTCTAGATCCTTCGTGGGCTTCGTTTGGGGCCGCCGTACCGTACCGTAGGTGCTCTGGGCAGCGCCGTGCCGAATTCACCCAGCGGATTCTCTCCACTCGCCCCATGGCGATCGCCCATTGAAATAGATGGTTTACCTTCTGGTAAACTGTTACATAACTATGGAAAATCATGGAAAATCACCATTTTTAATGGGAAAATCCACTATATTTCTATGGCAATTTTCAATAGCGAACTGTTAAATTACCAGAGGGTATGATGGTTTACCGAACTTAATAGCATGGTGGATCTTTCCATGGCGAACTGTTAGTCATAACCAGATGGTATGATTTCTGATATTTATTTCTGATATGACGAACTATTGTGCGTGAATCACATATGACAATGTTTTTTTTGTTTCTTGTTGATGTTTCTTTTGTGTCACCAAACAGCTGGGAAAGGGGACTATAACTGGGTATTTTTCAAAATGAAAAGACCATGGGGAAAAAAATTGGTGGATTTCCCATGCCATGTTGCACCGGTATATCAATTAGCCCAGGTATTACCCTCTGGTAAAGACGAACAGTTTGCTATTGAAAATGGCCAGTTATACTTGATTTACCTATTCAACATGGTGATTTTCCATAGTTTTTTGTGTGTTTACCAGAAGGTATCAAGGAGGAAACTTGCGATTGGGCTGCTGCGTTTGATGGGGTCTATAACCGAGCCAGCTAAACATTGGATATGACTACATAAAGAATCATAGAGCCGCATATATATATATATATATACATACATATATATATATATACATACATATATATATACATACATATATTTATATATACATATATATATACACATATATATATACATACATATATACATATATTATATATTATATATGTACATAAGGATGTGCGCATACAGTCTTAGATTAATATAGATGTAGTATATACCTGATTGGTGGTTTGGAACATTTGTTTATTTTTTCAATCTGGTAGGGAATAGTAACCCCAACTGACGAACTCATATTTTTCAGAGGGGTAGGTATACCACCAACCAGATGTAGTATATACAGACTACCAGAAATGCTATGGCAATCCGAACATTTGACATCCGGTGGGTGGTTGCGAAATCCTGCACCACCAAACGGATTCATTAAAACCCAAACAAAATAATATGGGATGTTTTTTTACAGCTATCAACTGGTGGGATTTCGCAACGGCCCATCCACAGGAAAAACCAGTTGACCCTTCGAGGTCTTCCTGACGGTCATCCAGTTTAGCGATTCCCTGCTGAAGTACTCCGTGGCTCCGGTGATCTTCCGCCTCAGCGACGAGACCAAGGGAGTGACATGGTGACCGACGGGAGGATGGCACCGATGGTGGGTTTCTTGTGATATACCCGGCCTGGTAGACATACAAAAAACCATGGAAAGATCCACCATTTTCAATGGCTAAATCAACTATAAATGGACCATTTTCAATAGCTATGTTAAATTACCAGAGGGTATATATATATAACAGTATATAGCTATATGGTCTTCAAATATCTTTGTTTCCAAGTTGGAAAAATCTTGAAGTTGAAACCAAACTTGAGTTTGCATCCCCCATAAAACAACTAAACAACTAACATGTCCAAAAACAGCTCCACAGCACCCCACTGGGTGGTTTGAAGGATCCACAGAAGATAGTCATTGGAGACCCATAGGATATCCTGCTTTATTGGTTTTCCAAGGGTTGGTGATGGACCTGAAAAAAACACATGAGTTGGATAGATTTATCTGTCATTCGATGTTGTTTGATCCAAGGGAATACAATGCCCAGAAAAAAAAATGTGTCTTTTTCTTGGCAGGGTATCTAAGACTCTGGTGTCAGAGATTCTTATTGCTTAATTTAAGGTGCACAATCATTTGAGGGAACCTCCCAATTTTTCTTGAATGGTAGCTTATATAATGATAGTTTAAGTTGCTTGCTTGGAGTATTTAACCGTTCTTTTCAACAATTGTCCTGGAAGGTGAAGCCCCACCAAACTTCCCATCCTCCGTCGTCCTTTGTCGATTCCCATCCATCCTGACCTCGCAGGAATGGTCCAATTTCTGCCTGGATTGTTGTCATACACTGGGACTGTTGGCTTTGTTGGGATTACAGTATCATCATGAAGTATCATCTATATTTACATATAATTCATATAATTCATATATAATTACATTTTATGTATATATAAATATAGATAGATAGACACGGTACATATTTCACTCACATGTTCTCATGATTCATTAGGAGAGCAACAAACACCAGCAAAGATCAACTTAAGCCGATTGTCTCATGGCCATACCACCATTTTTTCTGGTCAACAATCAAAATGAGGAGGGATCTAACTATGTTGATGCAATAAATCCTCATTTTGTTTTGGTTGGTTCCCCAAACATGTGGGGGCTTAATCAATCAATAAAGCGATATCACGAGAAAAACACCAAGAAAAGTGATGAAATCAGATTATTTCACCATGTCTAGAGTCTAACCACCCTTCCATTCTCCCATCAAAAAAGTCTCCATTTCTTCCACTACGGCACCGTCTCCGGCCTCAGTTGGAGCATTCCCCGGCGTCGAATGGCGCGCTGCGGGCCCTGCTGGGCATCGTGGAACTGCTGAAGACGGTCTTCACACCGCAGGTGGTGGCGGTGCTGGTGGCGGTTGGCATCAGTTCCGGGACCATGGCATGGGATGGGGCCCGGGCAAATGGGCGGGCGAGAGATGTGTGATCTGGTGCCTTGATTGGATTGTTGAAGATCTTAGAGTGGAGATTTTTGTGACATGTTCATACATGTTCTGGTTGGTGGTTTGGAACATGACTTTTATGACTTTCCCAAAAAAATGGGAATTTCATCATCCCAACTGACGAAGTCATATTTTTCGGATCGACAAACTCGGACCCCAGTTGGTACCTGTAGACTCGTCACTCCTGGACACGGAGGCAAATGTAATGCAAACATCTGCCTCGGATATCCCGTGATGACAGTTGCATGGAGAACATGTGAACACAGGTGAAAACATGTGGTTTTAAGATGCTTTAATCATTTTAAACCATCAAGTTTTCTGGGTTTGACTCTTTGACCAACATTTTCAGACATGTAAAGTTGTGACTTTGGTTCATGAAGCACTGCGGGAAACTAGGAAACACCTTCACTTGCAATCTCTGGTTGTACTTTTGTTGGACGGCCACTTTTGTTGGTTCCAACATGTTCTAACCCCTCAAACCTGAATTGTGCGAGTCCTCGATATTTGTTTCATCTCCCCTGCTTCTTTTACAATCCACCAATTTGTCTTGTTCCAGCATGTTCGAATCCACATCTTAGTTGAGATTCACCCATGCTTCAATTACCCAGCTATTTATATAAACATTACTAACATTACCATCATTTTCAACTCACTTTTTTTTTAAAAAAATGGCAAGTCGTTATCCCCAGTTTGTGCTGAAAAGATCTCTCGTGAGGTTCCTTCCTGCCAGACATCAAAGCTCAGATGCTTCCGCAAGCAACTGGTCAACCTGTCGGGGTCTTGGCGCTGACTTTTGCCGCGGCATCTCAACTGGGGGAGTGCGCCATCCCGCTCTGCTGCTGAGACATGCAGTGGACTTATGTTGATTGTTTGGTGTGTATATACATATAGCCTACAATAATGTACTAGGACAACAATAGAATTAATATGTATATATGTATATATTATTATATATTTATATTTATATATTGTCTAACTAACATATACATATATAATTAACATCAAATAGATAGAGACAATACAGCACCTTAATAATATACATAGACTAATATATGTATATATATATACAGTATACAGATATGTATTATATAATAGGGCTTTCAAAGTTGAATGTAAAGTTTGATCACAAAGCCTGTCCCTTGTGGATTGTCATGAAGTACCTGGGATTCCTGTTGAAGTATATGCAAGCGTTTCGATCCGGTACCAGTTATACCTGGAAAAGTTGAAGCACGAATTCGGGTTATTTCAAGCAGAAGCTACTTCTAGAGCCAACGAAAACATGAAGGTTCGATTTACAAGCCAGTTCTTGAATGTATCCATAAGATGTTCTGTTTCTAACCCGGAAATCGTGAATCTCTTGTGTCTTTCGGGTAGAATGACCTTTACAGAGGGGAAGAAACTCGGCTCTCGATTTCTTGATCCAGAAACATCATTCCTGATGAAGGGCTAATGGTGCAGTTTGCTGACTTTCTGAAGGGTTACCTTTAGATGGCTACTTGGATAATTTTTCATTCCCATGGTCCTGTTCTCTCTTGTTTTCTACTGGATCAGGTCGCAGTTGTTTGGCTTTCTGAAATTCTTTGGGATCACCAAGTCACCATGGATTTTAATACAGCAATTCATAGAATTGGATGATGGGAACATTTACAGGAAAGCCCGATCAATTTGATGGTAAAAACTGGTAAAAACCATAGTTTCCGGTGAAGATTTCCCTTAAACCAATCATCATAATCATCATAATCATCATAATCATCATAAATCGTCATAAATCGTCAGAAAACATCATGAATCATCATGAATCATCATGAAATATACAACAATGATCTATATAATTTTGGATGATGAATAGAGGGTAGCTTCATGACTTCACCATTTGGAAACCTGGAAACCTGGAAACCGATGACATCATAGATGTCCCAAAACCCCATTGGTTGGTTGATGAATAGAGGGGTTTGAAGAAACCCCTTTAACAAACAACAGCTTTCTATGATGATAGATGGGATTAACCAGTTCCCGGCCCAAACCTATGTTTACCAAAAGGACATGAAATTGATTTGCCATCTATCATCATAGATTTGGATGGCAACTTTGCCATTTGATTTACCATCCAAAAACCCAAACCCAGTTGTAGCCATGGGTTGATCCAGCTTGGAGCGTTGGAGCCGTTGGACCCAGGTTTACTGTCAGTGGGTGGACGCATCGGCGAAATGCTGGTGGAATACAGCATCTTGGCAGCAAAACAGGTCCCTTTCAATACAGCAAAGCCAAAAAACGCTATAAATCTATATAGATGTTTAATATAGATGTTTAATATAGATGTTTAATATAGATGTTTAATATAGATGTGTACCGTAAATATAGATTTTGAATATAGATGTTTATACTTTGGGATAGTTATAACTATAAACATCTATATAAAGCCTATAGTTCCACTATGTTCCATGGCTTTGACATTGACATTTTTGTTGGCCTTGCATTTTTAAGTTGCATCTCCTTTAAATCGGTGAATTGCAAAGGAAACTCATATTGAAAACTGTCATTCCAGTAGTTACACAGTGGATGGTGGTGGAATCCACTTTTTGCCGGGAATATCTTGGAGACATTTTGCTGGAAGATGTTCATGTCTTGTTCTTTGCTCAAATTTGGTGAAAACAATCTCTGCTTGGTGGTTTGGAACCATGGAATTTTATGACTTTCCCAAAAAATTGGGAATTTCATCATCCCAACTGACGAACTCCATCATTTTTCAGAGGAGTGGCTCAACCACCAACCAGTTTATTATTTGCCAAACCAGTTAAATCTCATTAAATCTCTGTTGGGGTGAAAAAATATTTGGCGTTGTTGGGAACGCCAATTGTGCTGGGTAAATCCTGTGTAACATTCCTGTGTTTCTTTCTTTGTGGGTTATATCACATGATATTTTTAGTTTTGTTACTTAACTATCCTATCGTCCCCACAAGAACCGCAATTTTTGCGTGTGAATCCAAGTTTATTTTTTGCCAAATCCACCATTCCTCTTCAATTCATCCCTTTTCTATTTTTCTCCCGTTCATCTCCATGTTCCTCAGGACACTCAACACCTTCTCCCTCAAAAAATCAGGCTTGCTCCAACTTTCTCGCAATCCCAACAGTTCAACAGCCACAAGAAAAGGGTAAATTGGTCATTTATGGTCATATTACAACTCTTAATACTTACCCAATTTAGCTTCCCTTGTAGCGTTTTCGGTGTTTAACCACCTTTTCACCAGGAACAAATGGCAAGATATTTACCCAGTTCGCTTCCCTTGTAGCGTCTGTGTGTTTGAAACTAGCCACCTTAGTTTCACCATGTTTCAAAAATGGCACTAAAACATGACTCGTTCGTTACTTCCCTAGCGGCCCTAGAACCCCTGAAACTTGCCATGTTTTCCAGGTGAAACGGTGAAACTGATCCTTTCAGGCGGTGCCGCGGAGGAGGACGACAGCCGCAGCAAGCTGCTGCAGTGTGCCGCGCTCATCGGGGCCGTGCGCATCGTACTGGCACCGCTGGTGCTGTTTGGGGCGGCCTATGCCTATAAAACCTTGGTGCTGTTCCTCGGAGAAATGGAGAACAAATATGGAGAAAAGTTGGGAAAAATCAGGGAAAAAGTTGGGAAAACATGGGAAAACACATGGAAGTTGGGAGGCTAGCTTCATTCACCACCATCATTTTTTGGTCTAAGAGGGTCAAGAGGGATTGTCAGTTGGAGATCCCATGTGCGCAAATATTAGGTCCCGAGAATTTGGATTGGGCAATGCAGAAGCAGCAGCTGGATGGTAGAATGATGATGGTGGAATGATGATGGTGGAATGATGATGGTGGAATGATGGTGATGACGACGACGACGACGACGACGACGACGATGATGATGATGATGATGGGGATATGTGTTTTTATTTTTCATTTCTATTGCTTGCACTTATATATATAGTACGTTTAAAATTGTTATTTCTATTACTGTTATTATGTTAAATCCTGGAGAAATTACTATTTACATCTATTTACTATTATTGTTTAAACTGTGTTTAGCGATGATCATAGCAATATGACTCTTAATTGCTGTTACCTTTATCACTATTGTAAGTGTTATGCATAAGCATTTAACAGCAAACAAATAGTTCAGATGTTTAGCATATTACTACTATTTGCTAATCAAGTGTTAACATTATACTATATTGTTTACTATATATATACACACTAAATATACTATTTGTGATTAACAGTTACTATTTATTGTTGTTATCCTCTGGTAAACTAACATAACTATGGAAAGATCCACCAATTTTTAGTTGGGTAAATCCACTATTTCTATGGGTCATTTACCAGTTCGCTATGTAGCAAATTACCAGAGGCTATAACATATTAAACCCCATTAAAATCCCATCAAACCACCATAAAATCCCATTAAAATCCCATTAAAATCCCATTAAACCACCATAAAATCCCATTAAAATCCCATTAAACCACCATAAAATCCCATTAAAATCCCATTAAAATCCCATTAAGCCACCATAAAATCCCATTAAAATCCCATTAAAATCCCATTAAGCCACCATAAAATCCCATTAAAATCCCATTAAAATCCCATTAAACCACCATAAAATCCCATTAAAATCTCATTAAACCACCATAAAATCCCATTAAAATCCCATTAAAATCACATTAAACCACCATAAAATCCCATTAAAAGCCCATTAAAATCCCATTAAACCACCATAAAATCCCATTAAAATCCCATTAAAATCCCATTAAACCACCATAAAATCCCATTAAAATCCCAATATACCATCATTTTTATGGCTATTTCTTGTTGTGAAAACTATCGTTTCTTGCTGAGATCAACGCAGCCTCGCTGTAGGATGCCACAGCACGTGGTGAAGCCCACAGCCTTCTGGGCTCCTGCGCTGGTGACCCGGCGGCGCCCCTGGCGTTTTTCCAGGTTTTTCCCGTACCGTCCCGGGGACATGCAGAGTTGAGCAAGGAAAAAAAGTGATTCGAAATAGCCAGAGATTATCAACTATAACCCATAGGATCCATGTATGGTATATATGCTAACATTGGGGGTATATTGATGGTAAATGTTACCATATATAGCATACATGGATCCTATGGGTAATAGTGATTCGAAAGAACTATGTTAGTTTCCAGAGATTCGAAAGTGATTAATAATGTTTAATTGTCAGATTTTTTAGTGGTAAGTCCATGGAAGTCCTGTATAATAAACTATACAGTTTAATGATCATACTGGGATATTCAGATATAGTGGATGGCAGACACCCAGCGTCATCAAAGATGAGTAGCTGGGAAATCCTTCAACTAAACGGAGCTTTGTAGAACATCAAATATAGATAAAGCATGATAAAGCAGCAATGGGACCCATTGATGCCTGGGATGTTGGTCATCAAAAAATATGAACAATGATGACATGACGATGAAGCAAATTATTTAGTGGGGTTTCCACAAAACTTTTCGGTGAAACCCTTTTTGGTGGTAATCATGTAATGAGTTCCCTAATGTTCAGGTTTTTTTCGCAATTCTTACCCAATGTCCCACATTTTCATTGCGAGGCCACGTTTAAAACGTTGGCTGTGTGTCAGTCAGTCAAGTTCAAATTACCAAATAAATTGTAACTATTACAATTATCGCAAAGATTGTATGTATTCGTCAACTTTTATCCTTCAACCAACTATGTATTATGTTTTACTCCTCATCTATCATCATAACCATTATCATGACTATTATAATCATCACAATCATCATAATCATCATATCATAGAATTGGATGATGGGAAAATTTACAGGAAAACCCTATATTTGATGGTAAAAACCATGGTTTCCGGTTAAGATTTTCCCTTAAACCAATCATCATAATCATCATAATCATCATAATCATCATAATCATCATAATCATCATAATCATCATAATCATCATAATCATCATAATCATCATAATCATCATAATCATCATAATCATCATAATCATCATAATCATCATAATCATCATAATTCATAAACATCATGGATCATCATAAACAATCCATATCATCATACCTGTTGTTCCCGTTGTTCCCGTTAAGGCTGCCTTTGTTGTGAGGTCTGTGCTGCCATGCCCACGGCCAACAACCTCAGCATGATGGCCGACCTCGCGGGCAACGGCCGATCGCTGACGAACACCACGACGGCGCTGCAGCTGATGGCGGCACCGCTGGTGCTGGTGCTGACGCTGACCACCCTGTTGACCCTGGAGGAAAGCTTGTTGAGCTGAGCTGAAGATCTGCGGTGTAGATATAGATATGGAACATAGATAAGAAAGATAGATAAAGATATGAAACATAAATAAACATATATAGAAGAACTGAAGATCTGCGGTATTTTTTTCTGAGGTTGAACTGGGATGAGTACATAGAATGGTGTAGGTATAGATATGGAACATAGAAAAGGAACATGGATGGACACATACTACGTGAATGTGTGTATATATATAGATATAGATACTCTCGTGAAAAACAACCTGTTGCAATATATATATATATTTGCAATACGTTAGTTTTCAGGATATTTTGTTGAACAGGGCTAACATAGCAGCTGAAATCTTGCATGTTCATGGGGTGATTTTGATTCTAACATAACACCTGCCGCGCCTATCAGCACAAATTCCCAAAAGTGTCAAGTTAGTGTTCGTGCTGTGTTTGGGAACATGGCGAATACTCCAAAGCTGGAACCACCAAATGGAAACATAGATATGGAAATATAGATATAGATATGGAATATAGATGAGAATGAGAAACATTTATGGAAACATACTATATATATACATACATAATTACTGTATATATATAGTCATCCTGGAGTAGACAGAATATCGGACATTTTCAAAAAGGATTTTCAAAAAAATAAATAAATAGTTGGGATATGCTCAAAACCCTCAGTTTTTACACGTTTTTCGTCTTTGTTAAGTCATTTTTAGCCAGTTTTGGACACGTGTCTGGAGACATTTTGAAAAATACAAAAATCAAACATCACCAAAAAATAGATAGAATATTGTTTCAAACCAGGTAGATAGAATATTTTGAGGGAATTGTGAACACCACGCGCAGGCCCCACAGCAGCTTGAGACCCTCCAAACCATATTCCAACTACCAGTTTTCGACCTTTGCGGGGGGGGTCGAAATATTCCAACTACCTATGTTTTTTTAAGTGGCCAACATCCAACATAATTCCATCATAAATCCCGCACCCTCCAAAAAAATATTCTATCTACTTTAGGATCACTATATATATATTTATATAGCTAGATAACATGCTATAGATAGATTAAATATGTATGATTGTCATTGAAGATTTGCGGTTGAACACTAGGATTAAGAAACTACTGTATAAGAGTTGGATGATTGTTGGAGATTTGCTGCTTTGAATTTGTATGAGAAGGGACCCTAGTCACCTGGTCTCAATGAACCTTCTAACGAGGTCCTGCCGGGGGAAATGTAGTAACAGCAAGAAGGGATGGTACAATCAATATATATATATATGTGTGTGTGTAGGTGGTTCAATTCTATTGAATTATAATGAATTATGCCTGGATAAAGATGAATGGTTAAAATAGCTTGAGATGGCTGGTGTTGGATATGGAAATCGGAAAGATGAGAAAGACATCATGACAACATGAGGAAACATGGAATTAACATGTATAAACATGTATAAACATAAGTAGGACCGTAGGAAAGGTGAGTCTTTGCTTCTGAGTCTTTGCTGTGTGTGTGTGTCAAGCTCTGTACCAAAGAGTTCCTCACTTTCTTGCGACTGATTCCAACCAACTAGTTTTCAACTGCTTTCCACCATAAATTTTGGATACCGTTGCATTTTAATTCATAGCAGGGGGCACAAGGACCTTTGGTGAGTCTTGTGCCAATGAAGACACTCACCTTAGGTTGTGAAAACGTACCTGCATGATGCACCTGGATGACATACCCAATATGTTGGGGTCATAGCTGGTGGTCATATTCGTATCTGTTAGTACTTTATGGGATCAGGCTAACCCAAGAACCTGCATGCCGTCATTCAGTCATTTCATGATCACGTTTGATTGAGTCGTATTGGTTTCTCTTTTAAACAACCTGACATTCAAATGTCAACGGATAAGCTTGGCCTTTTTAACTCGGTATGGCCGAGTGATGCCTTCAATCTACCATGAGGTAATCAGACTTTGCATTCATGAAAAGAGACCGTCTTTCATGACTTCGCAAGTGTGTATTTCGGCCGTGGGATCTGTCAAAGTCCGGTCGTGATCCTGGAATTCCAGGCGTCGTATCTCCCCTGGGGGTGCGAGAATCCACAAGTGAATTTGACTCTTGAATTCAGCCACGGTGGCTCATTGCAATGATTGAACGTGTGTCTCTGACACAAAGCGTGCATTTGAGAGAATAGATCCCGGTATGCTATCCGGCAAAAATAGCTTGAATCCACTGAGTTTGAACTTGAATTTGACTTTTGACAATTTTGGCGACTGATAGTCACCAATAAGATGAATTTTCTGAATTCCACACTTGAAGCCTCAGCATTGAATTCCAAATGGATGAATTGTGTTTGTACACATGAATGCCTTTTGGTGTACAGTTGAGCAAGCAACAATACGTTATCACTTGTTAGTTGTCTAACTGATCAATCCTTGTACAGTTAACAAGTTGTCATATTAGACAACACATTTTCCATTTTCCTTTCTCTAGATTTCTGAGCCATGTCGACTCCGGTGTATAATGTTTACTTTGTGGCCGGCAACGTGGACCCGACTCCACCTCGGCCACCGAAAGCACCGGCGAAGCCAGCAGTAAGACTGGCATTGACACCGCATGCTCCTCCAGCAACTCCGGTAGCAGCCCCAGCCGCAATTCCAGGAACGATCTCCGTACCTCGTCGACCGTCAGCAGTCCAACCTGCGGTGCCGGTTGGAACAGATCATGACAAACAGGAAAGACGCACAACATCAAGTTGCTCCAGATCCAGAACAAGACGTCGTCATCGAGCATCCCATCACCGTCACCATCATCGTGATCACCATTCTCCGAGGTCCACTCCGAGATCTGAAAGAGGTAGGTCAGTTAGAACGGCTCGTTCTTCTTTCTCTCAAGCTCTCCGTCCTCCACCAGGTCAATGGGACATTCATACTGGTCTTTGGGACCCGTATGTTGGAAACATTCCTCCCAGAGCGCATGTTCCTCCTCCCAGAGTTCCTGCTCCTCCTCCCTTGAGACCGTTTTCAGCCTTCCCTCTATTAGATCGCTCAGGACGTCACGAAATGACACCAACCAGTCAGCCAGTCACTCCGAACCAGGCAAATATTCGATCTTGGTTAAAAAATCATCAAGATGATGACTACCCGATGATGGACAGTATGGTGAAATTCGTTGCACAAATTCTGGACTCCACCAGGTATACTCCTGATCATTTGTCCACAATGAAGTTGCTTGTTTATGACCCTCAAGATCATGAACATCATCCTACTGATTTGGGCAAGAGTCATTTTTACCTTATCAAAGGACATTTCTCTCAAAGAGAAATACCAGACCCAGTACGAGCTGCACCTGCGATGAACCTCCAGGAAGTACAACATGTGAATTTGGTTCATGCTAGCAGTATTGGAGGCATCAAAGGCATTTTTTCTGATCAAAAGATCGGACCTAGCCGTTTACACAACAACCAATCTTGCTCATTTTTCAGTCTTGGATCTAAAAGAACCAACGACAGAGCTTGGGATGACAAAGAAATGGCCAGAATCACACATGCAGCATGGTACGCTGCAAAGAATACAAGTAACATTCTGGCAGTAGCGGTAGGATGGGGAACGGCTGAGGCCGTAAAGCAAGGGGGAGAATGGGAATGCGTGCAGAAAACCATGAATGGCGGATGCGTCCACCATCAAAGAGGACGTATGTGGGTCACTAATGAAAACTCCCACAAACTCCTAGGTTTTGCATTCAGAGTGGCAGCTGAAAGCCCACTAGACTAATTCCCTACTCCGTTTTGAACCTTGCTGTTTTTACCATTTTCTATTTTTGTCTGATTGGAATTTTGCTTCAATATGAACTGCCCGTTTCTCCATCAGACTTGTTACCGGTATGCTTAATTCATTTCCGTTGCATGTGCGATCGACATTTGCTGAGATGTCCAAAAAAAACCGCATGGACAACCCATGCATTCCGATTTGTGATTTAGACGTACATATTTTAACTCAATCGGAATTGTGATCCATTTTGTCCAACAAGACGATACATCAGAATGCTGCGTTGAATCAACGTGCCGCATCCAATTGCAGATTTTTCAATTTTTGTCATTTCAGTTATAGCTGCAGTTTTGGGTTCTTAGGCTTCCTGTTGACGTGTTAACTTCTCCGTTGTCAGCCATGTCGTATTGGAACAGGTCCCAATGGAACTCTTGGGACAATCAATGGCAGCAGCAGCAGTCTCCTCCACCTCCGCCTCCGTCTTCGAGTCCGCCCGTGAGTTTACCATCAAATTGGCGCAGCACGAGTCAATGTTGGGATGATCAAGTTCAATATGGTTACCGTTTGTACAGATCAATTCAACCGACTGCATGGAGCCGCAAGAGGAATCTTGCTGGCCAAGTTCCACTTTCCGTCCCGCTCAGTCATCTTACTCGACATGGACCTGATGAAGCAGCGCTGCGAGCGCTCAGTGAGGGTAGATTTGTTGGAATTATTTGTGCGAAATCTGTTGCTGAATCTGTGTTTGGTTCCCAAATTTTGAAGACATTCCGTGATCAAGGAATTGATATCGATGCTACGGCTGAAAGCCTCCATCGCCAGTTGGCCCCCCAGCAGGGCATTCCCAACCGCACGGACAAACCGATTGAGTTTATGGCACCTTTAGTTCAGTTCATAGCCGATAAACTCAAGGCTCAGTGTCCTGTAAAACAGGATACCGAAGCCATGCGAAGGCTCCAGGAGACCGAAGCGAAGCTTCAAGCTGCCAAGTCCAAGCTTGCACAAGCAGGCATTCCGGATACACCCCAGAGATCACGGCGTACCACCGGCACTTTTGCCCCTGATCCCAAATTGCCAACTGATGATCTTGATGGTCCTGGTTCTGCTGGTTCTGTTGTTCCTGTTTCTCCTGCTGTTGTTTCTACTTCTCACAGGAAGAGACCTAGCGAGGCATTAGGGGCTTCTCCGAAATCGTTGCCAAAGCAAAGAAAGCTGGCACCTATGTTCCGCAAGGCAGCTGCGTCACCAAAAGATGAGACCTCTGCCAC